TCTACATGTTCATACTACTGTTAAGTAGGTTTTCAACTTTTAAAATTTGAGGTTATATTTAATCTATTATTTTACTAAAGGAAAACTTGTTTAATTCATAACTTCTTGGTTTTAGCTCCGATTTTTGTGATCTTCGCGTCTATGTGATCGTAGTGAGACGTAGATTCGTTTTCTAAACTTTTCATCTTGATTTTATGCTGTTGGTGTACTGTTCTAATCTATAGCCTTTGTTTGCTATGCATGATTGCTTCTGGATGCTTGTTGCTGTGATTATCGAGTATAGACGATGAGCAATTCGTGGGAGATCAAGGGTACTATTTTGACGAGCAGGATCAGCAGGAGTACTTTGCTCAAGGCAAGTATAGCATGGGATCATCCTTGTTTCCTATTCACTTTAATACATTAAATTCATGTTGCATGTGTCACCTTGATTGGGATTCCCTAGAATTGAACTTATACCTTGTCACCTACGGGATATGCATTGGGTAGCTTTGCTAGTGCTCAATTAAACCATGATCTTGTAACTTGACTAATGATATATGCAATAAACATTAAAATATGACTTTTTAGCAACTTGGAAATAGGGGCTAGAAGTATTTAGCTACTTTCTAAATGCTTCAGATTCCTCTCCCTAAGCACTTATTTGTAAGTGATAGGGGGTTGGAGTATTTAGCTACTTTCTAAATGCTTCAGATTCCTCTCCCTAAGCACTTATCTACAAGTGATCATCCGAGACTTACAGTACATCTGTGAGGGCTACATGGCTCTAGCTTTAGCTCAGTATGAGGACCTTTTCTAGCTTGTTAGTGGTTACCTTTATTGGCGTAAGAATGGCTTGACGAATCAGGTATAGGACAACCTCTACTCTTATGTATATAGCCGTGGGGGAATTATGCCATTTGACAGGGGGGTTCATATATCTCTTTGCCGAGTGAATCTAATGGCCCTAACTTGTTAGACGAACCTTTGAAAGACTTCATAGTGACCCCTGCCTACTCACCTTGAAAGTGTTTTGGAAGTAATTAATCCGGGCATATGGATATCACGACTCACAGTGAAAGTGTACAACATCTACAGAGTGTAAAACTGGTATATCAGCCGTGCTCACGGCCACGAGCGGCCTTAGAATATTTACGGAATAGATGAACACTAAGTATTACCTGTTTATGCTATTCATTATTCTTGTTTACATTGATCATGTGTTTTGCATTGGGAATTGAAACAACTTGTTGCTACTCTTAAGCTAAAATTGTGACAACTAAAAGCTGAATGTTGTTAAACCTGTGTCAAGCCTTTTGAGCCTCATGAACCCCATGTTACACTTGTTGAGTACGACATGTACTTACACTTGTTTATTTTCATTATTTGGATAAAAATCCCGGATGGGTAAGAGATGGCTATGGTAATGATGATTTTCCTGAGGACTTCTAGACTTGTGGTCAACTAGTCGACGTCCCTGTGATATGGAGTTTCCGTGAGAGATCTTTTCGTTAAACTTCCGCTATATCTATGAGAAAACTCTGTCTTATTCGTGATGTAATAAACACTTGTGATGATACTATTTATAATTTGTCGGCTTATGTGTGTGACTGATCTCTGGGCGCATATAAGATTTTGCATCCCATTTTATCCTTAAAATCGGGTGTGACATAGCACGCTCCACTTGACCATTGGTCATCGGGTGATAGACTGAGGACCGATAATGCTTAATGGTATGTCTTTCACAAAAAAAATTCAAACTTTTTGCTGGTAAATTGTGTACCATTATCCGATAGTATTCGGTGCGGTACTCCAAAACGCATTACAATGCTCTGTAAAAATTTGACTATATTTTCTTTGGTTATCCGGCCTACCGGCTCAGCTTCAACCCACTTTGTGAAAGTATCGATCGCAACAATAAAAAATCTATAACCACCCCGGGCTCTTGGAAAAGGGCCAAGGATGTTGATGCCCCATGTGGCAAATGGCCAGGACAAAGGGATCGTGTTTAACGCTTGAGTCGGCTGGTGAATTTGCCATTTGAAAAACTGACAAGACTCACACGTTTGGACCAACTCAGTGGCGTCTTCGAGTGCTGTTAGCCAGTAAAAACCTTGTCAAAAGGCTTTTCCGACCAGCGTTATGTGAGAGGCATGGGATCCATAGATTCCTCCATGGATGTCGTGGAGCAAACTAATGCCCTCGGCCTGGGTGAAATCTGATAAAGGATCTTAGAACTTCTCAAAACAGCGAAACGTCCTGCTATCCCAAAAACTTATATCTAAATTACGTATACGCCCTATACACTAGTACAAAAATAGTTGTACTGGCGCACGTTTTGGATCTTTGCTGGCCGTTTTGTAAACTGTCGTATAAAAGCCTAGTGGAAATAGTAACTTTCCACAGATGCCAACTTGAGAATAGGCGATGGCTTAACACTGTTATCAATGTAAACCGACTTACACAGTCGGCAGGCTTAAACCAACGAGAGAGTGCGGCTGGTAAGTACATGGATCTGCCACCCATCACGGAGGGGGTGGCACATAGACACATGAGCCCCGCCTCTCGGCCACCCTCAGGAAGCACACACGAGGAGAGGGAGGCACACATTTTCATCGACGGTTCATATAACGAAACATCGGTGAAAATCACCCCTAATGGTTTAAAGAAACCGGTGGTGATAATGACGTTATTAGCAAGAATCCTTTGTGTAGTAGTATACGCCAAGCACGATAAGGGACTTACAACCACTAGTGGACAATATTATTAAAAGGGTGGCACGATGGATTGACATCTTTCCTATTGTGGGAGACTTACTTTTCTTAAATCATGTTTAGTTAGTATCCCAATTTACCTCCTTTCCATTATTAAATTTCCTAAGTGCACGACTGACATTATCAACTTTTAAATTGCTCATTTCATAAATCATGTTTAGTTAGTATCCCAATTTACCTCCTTTCCACTATTAAATTTCCTGAGTGCGTGACTGACATTATCAACTTTTAAATGGCTCATTTCCTGTGAAACAATAATGAGGACCAGGATAAGTACACATGGCCAATTGGCAACGGATTGCCCATAAGAAAGATTTAGCTAGCCTGGGTATACATGATTTAAGAAGTTTATTACGCCTATTAGTGTGCACCCAAAATTATTCATGAGGTACATAAAACTAAAGAAAGTGGTATTATATTGAAATTTGAGATATATATATATATATATATATATATATATATATATATATATATATATATATATATATATATATATATATATATGATAGGGTCAACTGAGAGTTCCTTGAAGAGATGTCTGGATTTAAATACGAATTATCCATTTAGTACATGAACCTCTCTTTCCGACAAAAGGATAGAAGAAAATATCCGTCCTGAATACCTAATCCCCTTTATCTACTCCTTTTTAATTTAGTAGAAGATATTTTCACTAGAATACTTATGAAAGCAGCTAGAATAATCTGGTAATAGATATGTTGATCTATACACTAGAATACTTATGAAAGCAGCTAGGAATAATTTAGTATGCGGGTGACACCCTTTTGTTTCTAGATGATGATATAAAAAATCCAAGAATCTCAAATGGTTACTCACTTCATTCTGAAATACAATATATCCAAGTAATTTTATGACCAAACAAGGAGTTTGGCAAAATACTAATTTGCCCCTCACTAATTAGTTAGTTAAGTTGTTAACTTGCTTAATTTTCTAGTAGGGCATAGTTTAAAAAGGTAAGCATACATGTATATATATATATATAATAATAATAATAATAATAATAATAATGATGATGATGATTCATTTTGTGCAAGATGTTTAAAAGACATGCATAGATGCATGCATGGATGTATTTTAAAAGGCAGGTAAACATATATATGGATGAGGTTAAGCTATCCATAATAATACCTTATAATCCAAGACAAATTTTAAACTTTGATGCCTTGTATTTTAGGAGGGTGAGATTATTAGTCTGCTGTGAGCAGCTTTCTCTGTTGGAAATAATAAACTATGATAAAAGTGACTTGCTATCACTTAGACTTCTTCCAGTGTAAGGGCATTAGTTGTGGTCACTTCCACGAATATCCCTAGGTCTAAATTTGACTCAAACTGAGAAGGATTCATGCAAGTTATATGAGAGGCATAACTAATCCAAACTTTTTGAGGCACCATTGAAACCCTAGACTAAAACTCTACTACCATTCTCTCTCTCTCTCTCTCTCTCTCTCTCTCAAAACACAACTATGAAACTCTAGATCTAGTTTTGACTCAAATTGAGAAGCACTCATGAAGAGATATGAGAGGCATTAACTAACCTTCTTGAGCGACCCCCTTCAAAGAAATGAAGAGCAAAACCTCCTCCCTCGTATTTTGCAATTTTATAGAGGCAAATATCCATGGTACCGTCGTTGGATATGTGATCTCTTGAGTAGTCTTTTTTCTTTAGATAGGGACAGAGTCAAATACAACATGTTTTGTGGAATAGGTAATTGATCTTGAACACATGAGGCGTAGGACATACGGAATTTGGGTTGGACTCTAATACTGGCATTTGTAGGATAAAAGAAGTGACAATGGATGGTGCTGGACGAAGAATTGGAGGAGAGACAGGTATAGATAAATTTATCTAGTGGGCAATATGCTATCTTAAAAATCCATGTAAATTAATCAAAAAATAGGCACGGTTAAGAATATATGATCCAGTTTTTCATATTCTTTTGTCCATCCATGTCTCGTTCAAAATTCATGCAAGTTTAAATCATGTATGTACAGTAGTAAGCAGCCGTAATAATGACAAAAGGTTGATAGCTACCACCCTACGGTGGGTAGTACCCATACCCCTGCATGATACAGAAGTAGAAAATACATATCTGACACAGCCAACTCTTCATTTTCTTCATGCCCTTTTAGGAGACCTGACGTGGCGGGCCCACTCAACACTCTATTATCTATCGCTTGCTAGCTGACTCCTTCCAGTATAAATGCAACATAAGCACAGGCTGCACAGCCATGAGAAATCACAACTCAAGACTCGTCCACAAATTTTACCATAGCCTATGCTGTATGGCTCCTCCAGAAACTCTGAGTTCGTCAGTGCTCGTGGCAACTGTCCTGTCCTTCATCTTTAGCTTCCTACTAGTTCCTGCCTTACCACTTGATAGAACACCCAACAATAATGATCTCCAAACCCTCCTTTGTCTCAGGTCCAATCTTTCTGACCCTGCCGGGCTTCTTGCCTCATGGAAGAACGATTCCCTCGAATTTTGCACTTGGGCTGGTGTTAGCTGCGGGGAGAGGCACAAATCTCGTGTTGTCGCGCTGAACCTCGACTCGCTCGAGCTCAGTGGCCAAATACCTGCCTGTATTGCCAATCTCACTTTCCTCGAAAGAATCCACTTCCCAAATAACCACCTTACTGGCCCAATTCCTTATGAGCTTGGCCAACTGAAATGGTTGCACTACCTTAACCTCAGTTCAAACAATCTCAGTGATGTGATCCCAGAAACACTGTCTTCCTGCTCTCGTCTTCGGATCGTCGATCTTTGGGGCGAATTCTCTCCAAGGTGAGATCTATCCGAACATGAGCCAAATCTTAAATCTTGAGAAGCTCGTCTTGCAGCAAAACAGCTTCAGTGGAAAAATCCCTGAAGGGCTGGGGATGCCCCACAATCTCTCAGTTTTGCATCTGGCTGGGAATAATCTGAGTGGAAACATCCCTCTTTCACTTGGATGCAAATCTCCTCTTACAGATCTTGTTCTTGCAAATAATAGCCTTACTGGACCAATCCCATCTTGCATAGCTAATAGTTCATCGCTTCAACAGCTGGACTTAACACACAATCATATCAGTGGAGAGATACCACATACTCTGCTAAATAGCAGATCGCTTAGAACAATAGGCCTTGGGATGAACAGCTTAGTGGGATCAATACCTGCTGTCTCGCACACTGAGTCTCCATTGGAGATTCTCATTTTCACATACCAGTCTTTCAGGCGCCATACCTTCTTCACTAGGGAACCTATCTTCCCTTGTCAAGCTCTTGCTTGCATACAACAATCTTGAAGGTAGCATCCCAGCGAGCATAGGTAAAATACCAAACCTGAAAGCATTGGACCTGACTTACAACTTCTTGTCAGGATCTGTCCCAGCCTCCATTTACAATATGTCAGCTCTGACATACCTTGGCATTGCCACGAACACCTTGGTGGGGGAGATTCCACATGACATTGGGTACACCCTCCCAAGGATAAAGAAATTGATCTTTGAAGAGAACCAATTCCATGGTAAAATCCCTGCTTCGCTAGCGAATGCGACCAATCTTACGGTGATTGAACTACAATACAATTCGTTCTATGGAACTGTTCCTTTCTAGGGCTCGCTTCCCAACTTGGTGGAGCTAAGTCTAGGCACGAACCAACTTGAAGCTGGAGATTGGTCTTTCCTGTCCTCACTAGCCAATTGCACACGGCTGGTCACCTTAGATTTATCAGAAAACAGAATCCAAGGAACACTGCCAAATTCCATTGGTGGCCTTCCAAACAGCTTGCAATTTTTGCTGTTGTCAGCAAATGATATATCTGGGACAATACCTCCAGAGATAGGGTACCTCACAAACCTTGTCGTTCTTCACATGGAGAGCAATCGGTTCACCGGAAGCATCCCAGATGCAGTCGGAAATCTTTCGAGTTTATTTCGACTAAGCTTATCACAGAACAAGCTTTCTGGACGAATTCCACTCTCGGTCAGTAACCTGAGTCAACTAAGTGAGCTCTATTTACAGGCCAATGATTTCAGTGGTCCGATCCCAGGTGCTTTTGGCGACTGCAAAAATTTGAGAATGTTGAACATCTCTTGCAACAACCTTGATGGTGGCATACCAAAGCAGCTGCTGACTCTTTCATCCCTTTCTGATGGCTTGGATTTGTCCCACAACCAACTCTCTGGACAAATACCACCTGAGGTTGGTGAGCTGATCAATCTCGGTCTGCTCAATGTTTCCAATAACCAGTTGTCTGGACAGATTCCCTCCACCCTAGAACAGTGTGTCCACCTGGAGTCCCTCCACATGGAAGGGAACCTTCTGGAAGGAAAAATCCCAAATTCATTCGCCGAATTGAGAGGCATCATCAAGCTAGACCTGTCCAGAAATAACCTTTCTGGAGCAATACCTGAACTATTTGAGTTCTTCGGCTCCTTGATCCTCAATTTGTCGTTCAACAGCCTCCAAGGTCCAGTACCCACAGGTGGGATCTTTGGCAATAAAAGTGCGGTATACATTCAGGGGAACAAGAACTTATGTGGGAGCACCCCATTGCTAGCATTGCCACTTTGTGATGCAATGGCCTCCAGAAAAAACCATGGTTTTAAGATTCTGAAGGTGCTAGGATTTAGTGCTCTTTCTTTCCTCCTGCTAGCATGCGCAGTGGCCATCTTTTTGAAGAGGAAGAAAGTCAGACAGGCAGCTCATTCATCCTGCAGGGAATTGAAAAGGTTTTCATATGCTGATTTAGCCAAAGCAACGAATAATTTCTCCTCAAACAACTTGATTGGTTCAGGAAATTCTGGATCAGTTTACAAAGGTAGATTTGAGTTTGAAGAACATACAGTTGCTATCAAGGTTTTTAAAGTCAATCAACTTGGTGTGCCAAAGAGCTTCCTTTCTGAGTGTGAGGCACTGAGGAACACTCGTCATCGTAATCTTGTAAGGGTGATTACTGCATGCTCAACATGTGATCCATCAGGACATCAGTTCAAAGCTCTTATTCTTGAATATATGCCTAATGGTAGCCTAGAGAGCTGGCTCTATCCTGATCAGAACAAGTATGGATTGGAAAGATCATTAAGTTTTGGCTCCAGAATAACAATAGTGATGGACATAGCTTCTGCTTTGGATTATCTGCATAACCATTGCATGCCTCCTGTAGTCCATTGTGATCTGAAGCCCAGCAATGTCCTTCTTGATGATGACATGGGTGCACATCTTGCTGACTTCGGGTTAGCTAAATTTCTTCAAAGTTCGAGTCATTCATGCCATCAAAGTTCTACAAGCTTACTGGGACCAAGAGGATCAATTGGGTACATTGCACCAGGTGAAAACTTTTTCCCTCAAAACTGGGCATTGTAAATATCACAACCGTTTTTTTTCTGTTTTTAATTATTCATGTTTTACGTTTCCACTATATTACGGCGTTATTTTATGTTTTTCCAATATTAAGAGATAAAATTGTTTGATCACATACACACATATTACAGAGTATGGCTTCGTCAACAAACTCTCAACAGAAGGTGATGTCTATAGCTATGGAATTATCATCTTATAATTGCTGCGGAAAGCGTCCAACAGATGAGATGTTTACGGATGGTGTGAAGCTTCAGAGATTTGTGGAAAATGTGTTTCCTCAAAAGATTGGTGATGTTCTAGATCCTTGTATCGTTCAATGTTTTGCCGAGGGTGATGTGGATAACAATTTGGACCACGGAAATAATGAAACAGCTTCTGTGGAAAGCCACTGCATCATGCCTCTTGTTAAACTCGGTCTCTCATGCTCTATGGAAACCCCGAAAGATCGACCAACAATGCAGGATGTCTACGCTGAAGTCATCACAATCAAACACTACCGGAGACCGGCCAGTTGCCGAGTGTCAGGTGGTTTGCCGAGTGTTCTTTTTCGGGCACTCGGCAAAGACGTGTTTGCCGAGTGTTTTTTTTACATTTGGCAAAGAGGCTCTTTGCCGAGTGTTTTTTTTAACACTCGACAAAGAGCATGATGCAAAGAGCCTTTGCCTAGTGTTTTTTTTGACACTGGCAAAGAAAAATTTAAAGCACATTTTGAAGAATAAATTAATTCAAATGAAAAAATTTCAACTACAAAGTTGTATAACTCATCAAGATGTACAATGTTTGTGTTTTTTCTTCATACGACAAAATGAAAATAAATTTATTCACAAATCTAACATAGTCTCTTGTAGTTTATGAAACTAGAGATATATAAGATTGAACAATGTTAGAACGACCATGTCGGATGAATAGATGACAAAACAACCAAAACAAACTTTGTAGATCTCGAAAAGTTATGAAACTTTATAATTGGCAACTTTTTGATTTGAAAAAATCTTGTCATGCAAAACTGCGTTTGAATTTCAAAATTTTAAAATTCGAACTTTTCAAACGACCTCGGATGAAAAAACAACCAAAATAAACTCTGTAGATCTCGAAAAGTTATGAAACATTGTAGTTGACAACTTTTTTATTTGAAAACATCTTGTCATGCAAAACTGTGTTTGAATTTCAAAATTTTAAAATTCAAATTTTATAAACGACCTCGGATAGAAAAACTTCCTAAACTAAAAGTGTAGATCTCGAAAAGTTATGAAACTTTGTAGTTTACAACTTTTTGATTTGAAAACATCTTGTCATGCAAAACTGTGTTTGAATTTCAAAATTTTAAAATTCAAATTTTGTAAACGACCTCGGATGGAAAAACTTCCTAAACTAAAAGTGTAGATCAGAAAAAGTTATGAAACTTCATGTAGTTTACAACTTTTGATTTGAAAACATCTTGTCATGCAAAAGCGTGTTTGAATTTCAAAATTTTAAAATTTAAATTTTGTAAACGACCTCGGATGGAAAAACTTCCTAAACTAAAAGTGTAGATCTCGAAAAGTTATGAAACTTTGTAGTTTACAACTTTTTTATTTGAATTCGTTTAGGGCCTCAAACATGCAATTTACACTCGGTTTAATATAATATATTGGGAACTACAACGGAATTCAGACACAAGTGAGAGTGTGGTGTAGTGGTAGAGGATGTACGTGCACTGAGAGGTCTCAAGTTAGAATCGCGTCGGTCGGCGTATATGAAATTCATTGAAAAATGTCGAGATGGTTGGCGGTGGGGTTTTTCATCGATAAAAAATGGGTAAAAATTCCCATTTTTTTGGGTTTTTTTTGGTTTCAACTTTACCGAGTGCCCGATAAAAAACATTCGGCAAAGTTGGCTTTGCCGTCACTTTTTTTGGCGAGTGCTGTTCGCCGAGTGTTACACTCGGCGAACCATTTGCCGAGTGTTTTAGGTGGTTTGCCGAGTGTTTCGGACACTCAGCAAATTGAAGCAGTCCGGTAGTGAAAGAAGCATTTGCAGTGCTACATGTCTGAGTAAAAGGGCTGTTGTTTTTGTTGCTCACATACTAGTAGAGCATGATGGCCTTTGCCTAATTTCTTTTGAATGGCCTTTTACTTTAAGAATAATTTGCCCGTGGGTCATCTCCCATTTTCGCTAGTGTTTTGTGTTTGTTATGTATCAGAACTAGTAAACATGTCATGAAACAAAGTTCGCCTTACTAGGAACTATGATTAGCTTCGTTACCTTGTCTAATTGATGCAGGTTCCACGTCGGTAGTGTACTATGTACTTTGACACCCTATTGAGCATAACAATATACATATTAGTCAGAATCTAGGCCCAAGATTGATTGTCATTAGGCTGTCAGGCTTTTCTCTTTTTCTTTTTCTTTTTTGGTTTAGGCTGTGTGCTTTTTGTAGAGGCCAGAATGGGTTCTAGATAATTGATAATTCTCGATGTAATCATCTACAACAACAACAAAGCCTTTAAGTCCCAAACAAGTTGGGGTAGGCTAAAGTTGAAACCCAGCAGAAACAATCAAGGTTCAGGCACGTGAATAGCTATTTTCCAAGCACTCCTATCTAAGGCCAAGTCTTTGGGTATATTACATCCTTTCAAGTCTCCTTTTATTGCCTCTACCCAAGTCAATTTCGGTCTTCCTCTACTTCTCTTCACGTTACTATCCTGGCTTAAGATTCCACTACGCACCGGTGCCTCTAGAGGTCTCCGTTGGACATGTCCAAACCATCTCAACCGGTGTTGGACAAGCTTTTCTTCAATTGGTGCTACCCCTAATCTATCACGTATATCATCGTTCAGAACTCGATTCCTTCTTGTATGACCGCAAATCCAACGCAACATACGCATTTCCGCGACACTTATCATTGAACATGTCGCATATTTCGAAGAGGCCAACATTCTGCACCATACAACATAGCAGGTCTAATCACCGTCCTATAAAACTTGCCTTTTAGCTTCTGTGGTACCCTTTTGTCACATAGGACACTAGATGCTTGGCGCCATTTCATCCACCCTGTTTTGATTCTATGGCTAACATCTTCATCAATATCCCTGTCTCTCTGTAACATTGATCATAAATATCGAAAGGTATCCTTCCTATGCACTACTTGACCTTCCTGAGAGCAAATATGTCTCAGGATTGATAGATTAATTATCAAGAGTACAGGGTACAATATATAGGCAAGGATTCGGAGGGTTTATAGAAACACCCAATCAACGGTGATCCTTGCCTTATCAATCTAACTTAACCCCTAAGGCACTAGCTGCATGGGCCTTAACAGAGCCCATGCAGCCCTATCAGAGCCTATGCTAACACGCCCCACGTCAATCGTCGACCATGCACGTTTAGATCGGACACGAACTCCGTGAACACTGAGGTAGGCAGCCCCTTGGTGAAGATGTCTGCATATTGCGAAGAGGTGGGAACATGCAGAACACGAAGGTCACCAATGGCGACTCGCTCCCGGACGAAGTGAAGATCAATCTCGATGTGCTTGGTGCGCTGATGTTGCACCGGGTTGGAGGTCATGTAGACGGCACTGATGTTGTCGCAGTACACCAGTGTGGCGCGCCGAAGAGGGGCATGCAACTCTAGGAGAAGCTGGCATAGCCAAGTTGCCTCTGCAACTCCGTTAGCTACCGCGCGATATTCAGCTTCAGCACTTGATCTTGATACTGTGTTCTGGCGCTTGGAGGACCAAGAAACAAGATTGTCACCAAGGAACACTGCATAGCCCGAGGTGGACTTGCGAGTGTCCGGACAACCAACCCAATCAGTGTCGGTGTAGACGACAAGATCAGTCGAAGTGGAAGGTCGCAGCAGGAGACCGAGGTGGAGTGTGCCCTGAACATAGCGAAGGATCCGCTTCAGAGCAGCGAGGTGAGGCTCCTGAGGGTCGTGCATGTGAAGACAGACCTGCTGAACAGCATATGCAATGTCTGGGTGGGTGAATGTCAAGTACTGAAGGGCTCCAGCAAGACTGCGGAAGTCGGTAGCATCAGACACAGGGGCCCCCTCAGCGGCAGCAACCTTAGGATTGGTGTCCACTGGAGTAGAGCATGGCTTGCACTCAGCCATTCCGGCGCGATCGAGGATATCCAGCATGTACTGTCGCTGTGAGAGCAGGAGTCCATCACCACTTCGCTGAACATGCATGCCGAGGAAGTGATGTAGTTCACCAAGATCTTTCATGGCGAATTCTCGCTGAAGTGCTGAGATGATCCGCCGAAGAAGGTCTGATGATGAAGCTGTGAGGACAATGTCGTCAACATATAGCAACAAGTAGGCTGTGTCGGAACCACGCTGGTAGACGAAGAGTGAGGTGTCTGACTTGGCTTCAACAAACCCAATAGACAGCAAGAAAGTAGCCATTCGACTGTACCAAGCACGAGGAGCCTGCTTCAGGCCATAGAGTGATTTCTTCAGAAGGCAGACAAAATCCGGATGAACTGGATCTTCAAACCCGGATGGCTGCTGGCAATACACCGTCTCAGTCAAATTGCCATGAAGAAAGGCGTTCTTCACGTCCAGCTGGTGAATGGGCCAGCGACGGGAGAGCGCCAAGGACAGCACCGTGCGAACGGTAGCCGGCTTCACCACAGGGCTGAAGGTTTCATCAAAATCCACACCGGGCCGCTGGGTGAAACCACGGAGGACCCAACGTGCCTTGTACTGCTCGAGGGAGCCATCAGACTGAAGCTTGTGCTTGAAGATCCACTTCCCAGTGACAACATTGGCCCAGGGCGGACAGGGCACAAGATCCCAGGTGTGGTTCTGCAGGAGAGCACTGTGTTCTTCTCCATAGCCGCTCACCAATTGGGATCAGCAAGAGCGCTACGGAAGGTCTTCGGCACCGGAGAGAGTGGCACAGCATGGTAGGCAGCAGGCATCCGGAAGCCGCTCTTCGAACGGGTGCCCATAGAGTGCTGGTTGGCCACCGGAGGGACAGCAACTGCGCCCGTGGGCAGTGGGGCAGCTGCTGT